ATGGTGAGAATACATCTTCGCAAACAATTTCAATAAGATACACTAACCCCGAACCTGTATATGAATGATATGATCCCTGTTTATAAATTTCAGTTTCATAAGGTCTTTTTTAATTTTTACAAGCTTTCGTCTGTTCCTACAGACATCCTCAGGTATGGAAATAGATTTCATGTAATTACAAATTAAACTGCACCTATAATCGAAATTCAAATAACTGATCCATCGTGCAACTTTCGGATAATAAGTTTGACATTACTGTAATTATTGAACAATATAGTCCATGCCACGTTGACGGAAAACCTACCAGTACAAAAGAATTCTCTTATTACTATATTTGTACAAAAACACACAACCTTAAACTTTAAATTCAAACTCAGCGTTGCGACTGCACGTTCCAAAACAATAACACATTTCTCATAGCATTTTTTCGGATTACATCTCTATTTTCGTTGTCCTCTTATTACCGAGAAGTAAAAAAACAAGAACAAAATCTATTTCCATAATTTGAACAGTATTATACTCTTTGAGATATACCATGCACAATGGAGATGCGTATTTTTTGCAGCAAGTTGTCGCCATATTTTTACTTTTATTTTTCTTTGAGAAGTATAGCACGAAGAGAAAGCGTTGTCTTTGGATTATTCTTCCACCTTTATTTGCAGCTAAATACTCCAAGAAATTACGTAACATCATTAATCCTAGAGTTGCTAATTAATCATTTACCTGTTTTGTTTTGTTTTTTTACGACTTATCGACATTTTGCAGTTTATTTAAAGCCAGAAAATATTATTAGATTTTATTTTGGAGATAATAACGCTTTAATGTTTACTGATACAAGTCCTATCAATTAACCTATAGCTGGGGTGGGAGAGGTGAATTCATACGTTACTTTCCGACTGGAAAAACCGACAAGAATTCGATACCGGCTCTCCGAATACAAATTTCGAACTGTATTCAATTACTGAGCTTGCTCATCCCAACTTACTGCACCTGGTATTCCCAAAGGGTCAACGTTACGTAACTTCAATGATCGTACGAGAGTCAGTATTTCAACGTAATTAATCATTTAGACTCAAATCGGGAATGGCCGACAGTCATATCACTGCAAAGAGTTTAAATCATCAATTGCTGGCAATTACTGACCTTTAAGCAAACATCAGTTCATGATGCCCGCCATTTAAGGGTTGAAAGAGGCATTATTTACTGGTTATCTACTAATATTAACTCTGTTTACCACTACGTCTTGGCAATGGTGCAACATGTGAATCTAAAACGTATAACGTCTTCGTCGAATTCATCACACCAAACACCGTACTATAGTAGTGTTGTAGAGTGGTTTCACAGTGGGGGCTTGTATTTGTACTAAGTCGGCCCTAAAATAGGTTCGACGTACAAAAACGTTAGGAACTTGATATAATAGGTAATGACGCAGAGAAATCTAGTGGTGGTCGCTGATACTTTAGTATCCGACTAAAGGTCGTCCGGCATCGACTGACTGATTAACGATGTTTAGTCACACCCTGCCCCCACGAGGGCATCATGTGGCACAAGGCCGGTTTAACGTGGGATCTCAGAGCCCGTGGGCTCGGCCAAAAATATGCCCATTGAACCCGTATAAACGGGTTCAGGGTCGGTTTACCGCCCCGAAAGAGAATCTGCCCTTCGGCGTAGCCTCTTTCGGGTTCCTCCCCGCCCGAAGGCAGAGTTCAACCGATCAGCCAGTCGACTGACAGAGCGACGATATTCAGTCCCCCCCACACTGGGGCGTCATGTAGCACAAGGCCATTTTTAATGTGGGATTTCCGAGCCCGTGGGCTCGGCCCAAAAATATGCCCATTGAACAAGGTCAATAAACGGGTTCAGGGCCGGTTTACCCCTCGGAAAGAGAGTCCGCCTTTCGGCGTAACCTCCTTCGGGTTCCTCCCGCCCGAAGGGCAGAGAGTTCAACCGAACAGCCAGTCGACTGACTGACCGACCCCCTGAGCGACTCCTACTACTCCTACTTATTATAGGTGGGATAGTCTATTAACTATAGAATAGGTGTGTTCCACTATAACAAGTAGACATACCCTAGTGAAAGAAAGTGCTCCTGTTATGTGTTTGTGTGATTTCGTACAAGTCGTAATTTAAATCCTTGGCCAACACAGTGTAGAAGAAGTGCCTAACCTAGCTCAAGTGAGGAAGAGATTGATCAATACACAATGCAGAAAACGTCAATTCGGGAAGAAAAATAAGACATGAAACAAAATGAACATGAAAGTAACTATTTTTTATGTTATTGTTTAGAAATAAAGTAACTATTTTTATGTTGATTTATTTTGGCATAAATATGTTTTATAATTATAGAATTCGAAAAGTAAAAGTAGAAAATATGTAGCAAGATTAGGATTAACGTTTTCTTCACCTCCTTTACAATATCTAACAATACCGGATTAAATTTATTGGATTTAATTAATTGACATTAATTTTACACAACAATATTCGTAATAAATGATTTTTTCATTAATTTTCTAACATAAAATATAACGGTTACTCCTAGTCTTACATATATATATATATATATATATATATATATATATATATATATATATATATATATATAATTCGGTATGTAATTATTATTGTACTTCGATATATTATTCGATATGAAATTGTTATTGTAATCCGATATATTATTGTAAATCGATATGTAATTATTATTTTAATTCGATATGGAATTTAATATAAAGGTAATAATAAGAGATTATTGTAATTCGATATTTGTGTAGGCTAACCTTTTTCAATATCTACTTTAAAAAGAAACAAATGAAAAAAAAAGTCAAATTAGTTTATTACCTGTTTTTCTGATTAATCTGTCTACAGCGTTTCCATTCTTGTAAGTATTTTAAGCACTTCTTTTAGCATTTCTGTCACGCACTGAGAAATGGCACCAGTTTTCAGCATTCGCTAAAGCTATTGTCTAATCTAATAAAACTTCTAATTTGTTTATTGTGGTGTGAATAATTGAATGTATTCTAATCTGAGACTGATAGTCGGTTGTTAAATCTGCTTGGGAATAAACACAAGATGGGTAATGATTCTCGAGAAACGAAAACGATTAGCCGTATTTTTAAACATGGTTAGTATCAAGTTCGAGGGAGAAAAATAGATCAAACAGAAAAAAGTAGAACTCTCAAATGAAAGACAAAATTGAAGAAATAAAGCAAAATCTGTCAAAGAGCAACGTATCTTTAACATTAGAATTTTGAAGAGAGGCTATTCCAATATCAACCTTGCCAACTGCTGTCTTTCAATCAAATTCGTGTCAATGAATGATCGAGCGTGCATCAAAGTCGTTAAAGTAAATTGACTTCTGGTATGCTTAACTGTAAAACATGTAGCAACAAAACCTACGATTTGATATGAACGTTAGTGATGACAAAACTACCAGATCTGATAAACGAGAATATGCTAAGTTAACAACGAAGATGACAAAGAGAAAAGAAAGAATATAAGACCGAATTCAGTAGCATTGAAAAATGTGTCTAGGCGATCAAACCTGGTTTGATTTTTTTGACGGTTTATCAACACTTTATACGTGAAAACTGAAACATATTGGATTGTAAGAATGAGTCTTTTATTTTATTTTTTATTTTTATTTTTATTTTTTTTTTGGCAAGTGATTATTGCATTAAGAATTTTTTTTAGAATAAGAATAATTTCTTTTTCCCAAATACAAGTCCTATTAATTTAACCTATAGCTGTTGAAGGAAGAGGTAGATTTATACCTTTCCTAAGGGTATTTGCGTGTAAGTGAATGTAAATAACTCGATTAGAATTCGGACTCTGCTCTCAGCTAACGAACACGCAATTGGAAGTATACATAAAAAAGTCTGATGAAGATATGTTTTTGTTTCATCGGCATTTTTCCTACGATAGTGGTAGCTGTAATTTTAAAAATATAATCTATAAAATCCAGAATCTACTAAATGTTTGTGGTACACGCTCCTGGAATGAACTGAAACTGTTATCTTAATCTTCTCTTGATTTAATTTTTTTTTTTTTTTAATTTATGGTAACTAGCTTTCGGCTTGTTTAGAGCAATTAAAGGTACTGGTGTGCAAATTTCTATATTAAACAACTCTCTAAAAAGAAAAATGTCACTTCAAAAAATTATCAGAGCTACGCAATTGTCAAGGGATGAATTTGCCTTGGGACGCAAATATCCAGGGACGTAATTGTCTGATACGCAATTTTTCGGAATGCAAATATCCAGTACGCAACTGTCTGTCCACCTAACCACAACACCCGAACATACAAGCTTACATCTGGTATCCCTAAGCGGTCACCCATGTAGATACTAATGAGGCTCGACGTTGCTGATCATTGAACTTGAGAAACCTATTTTCTTGGAAATTTGTTTTAATAGAAAGATTTTCTAAATTTCAAACGAAAGTAACTCTAGCTGCCCAGTCATTGACTGCCGACTATTTCCTTGTAGGGAAACAGTTGGTATAACTATTACTATTGAGTCTTTAGTAATTGCAATAATGTTGCATTCTATAAAGACCGTCCGCTTTCTGCGAGAGAGTAGCACACGAACCAAAGTGTCCTGATGTAATTACATTACAGGATTAACGCATGAACCAGCCGTTTATTGGTATATCTCGAAGACTAAGAATAGTTGGTAATCGTCATACAGTGACAAACGGTAATCTGTAAAAACGTAATTAGCCATCTTTAAACGATGCTAACCAGTGATATTGGTTTTCCTTCTTGCCAGGTTGAAATGGTAATTTATCATTTCAAAGAACAGGTAATAAATATGGAAAGAAGTTTCTTATTATCCGCATCTGTGTTCTTATGGTTACTTTCGTCATTTTCTTTGACTTTCTTCGTAAACAAATTAATAATCGAATCAAAAAGCTAAGTGCGAAATAACGCTAAAGAAGTTTTTAATATTCCCGACTTCGCCCGATCATTATAACATCAAACGAGTTCACAGCTGAGCAAAGCAAGAAATGTTACCTTTAAATAATATTCGTAATGCCCGTAATGGTCCTATGGTTTACTGTGATAAACTGTTAAATTCATTTCCACTAAACATATTGGCTGTCGAGTTCTCTGCAATCTTTGCCTTGGCGTCTAAGCTTCATCCGCCTCGACACTTGGCCTTCAATTTTGTCTTTCATTTCTGACACTTTGTTCATTTTTTCTTTTTCCTTGTTTTATTTTCTAAGTCTGCCTGCCTTCTAATTTTTTTTTTTTGTTTTTACTCTTATTAATTCATTTTCTCCTTTCGTTTTGGCCAACTTCACAAACATCAATTAAGTGATTCTTCCCGACCAGAGCTTTCATCAATTTTTTTTTTCACTTTTATTTTATTTATTCAGCATCGTCTTCTTTAACTAACTTTTTATATCATCATCATCGTCATCAACATCATCATCATTAACATAACTATCGTGAGTATTATCGCTGTTCAGAAGAGTTAAGTGATTCCAAACCCTCTTTGTACATTGGTGATCCGGGATCATCACCATCGTCTATAATGCAAAGAATCAGTTAACATTTTACCTTAAAATTTTCTCTTTGAGACTTTTTATATATTTAAAGAGTTTTTTTTTTTTTCTTCTATCCCCTCTCCTCTCTTTTCTTTTCTTCTATCCCCTCTCCTCTCTTTTCTTTTCTTCTATCCCCCTCTCTTTTCTTTTCTTCTATCCCCTCTCCTCTCTTTTCTTTTCTTCTATCCCCTCTCCTCTCTTTTCTTTTCTTCTATCCCCTCTCCTCTCTTTTCTTTTCTTCTATCCCCTCTCCTCTCTTTTCTTTTCTTCTATCCCCTCTCCTCTCTTTTCTTTTCTTCTATTCTCCTCTCTTTTCTTTTCTTTTCTTTCTATCATCTCCTCTCTCCTCTCTTTTCTTTTCTTCTATCTCTCTCCTCTCTTTCTATCCCCTCTCCTCTCTTTTCTTTTCTTTCTCTCCTCTCTATCTCCCTTTTCTCCTCTCTTTTTCTTTTCTTCTATCCTCTCTCTTTTCTTCTATCTCTCCTCTCTTTTTTTTTTTTCTATCCCCTCTCCTCTCTTTTTTCTTTTCCCTCTCCTCTCTTTTCTTTTATCCCTCTCCTCTCTTTTCTTTTCTTCTTTTCTTCTCTTTTGTTTTTCTTCTATCCTCTCTCTTTTCTTTTCTTTTCTTTCTCTTTTCTTTTCTTCTATCCCTCTCTCTCTTTTTTCTTTTTTTCTCTCTTTTCTTTTCTTCATCTTTCCTTAAATCCCCTCTCCTCTCTTTTCTTTTTTTCTCTTTCTTTCCTTCTCCTCTTTTTTTCTTTTCTTTCTTTTCCCCTCTCCCTCTTCTTTTTCTTTTCTTTCCCCTCTCCTCTTTTCTTTTCTTTTTCTTCTCCTCTCTTTTCTTTTCTTCTCTCCTCTTCTCTTTCTTTTCTTCTATCCCCTCTCCCTCTTTTTCTTTTCTTTTCTCCTCTCTTTTCTTTTCTTCTCTCCCCTCTCTTCTTTTCTTTTCTTCTCTCTCTCCTCTCTTTTCTTTTTCTTCTATCCCTCTCCCTCTCTTTTCTTTTCTTCTTATCCCTCTCCTCTTTTCTTTATCCTCTCTCCTCTCTTTCTTTTTTCTTCTCTCCTCTCCTTTTCTTCTATCCTCTCTTTCTTTTCTTTTCTTCTATCCCCTCTCCTTTTTCTTTTTCTTTTATTTTCTATTCCCCTCTCTTTTTTTTTCTCTTCTCTCCCTTTCTTTCTTTTCTTCTATCCCCTCTCCCTCTTTTCTTTTCTTCTCCCTTTTCTTTTCTTTTTTCTATCCCCTCTCCTCTCTCTTTTTTTCTTTTCTTCTCTCCTTTTAAATCTCTCTCTCTTTTCTTTTCTTCTATCATCTCTTTTCTCTTTTCTTTTCTTCTATCTTTTCTCCTCTCTTTTCTTTTTCTTCTATTCCCTCTTTTCTTTTCTTTTCTTTCTCTCCCTCTCTCTTTTCTTTTCTTCTATCCCCTCTCTCTCTTTTCTTTTCTTCTTTTCTTCTCTTTTCCTTCTATCTCTCTTTTTCTTTTCTTTCCCTCTCCTCTCTTTCTTTTCTTCTATTTCCTCTTCTCTCCCTTCTTCCCTCTTTCTCTTTTTCTTTTCTTCTATCCCTCTCCTCTCTTTTTTTCTTTCTCTCCTCTCTTTTTTTTTTATTCTATAACCTCTCTTTTTTTCTTCTCTCTTTCTTTTTTTTTTTCTTCTCCCCTCTCTCCTCTTTTCTTTCTTTTCTTCTATCCTCTCCCTTTTTTCTTTTCTTCCTATCCTCTCTTTCTTTTTTTCTTCTATCCCCTCTCCTCTCTTTTCTTTTCTTCTATCCCCTCTTCTCTCTTTTCTTTTCTTTTCTTCCTCTTTTCTTTTCTTCTATCCCTCTTCTTTTCTTTTCTTTTTCTCTTCTTTTCTTTTCTTCTATCCTCTCCTCTTTTCTTTTCTTTCTCCTCTTTCTTCTTTTCTTTTCTTCTATCCTCCTCTTCTCTTTTTTTTTTTTTTCTCTCCTCTCTTTTCTTTTCTTCTCTCCCCTCTCTCTTTTCTTTTCTTCTCTCCCTCTCCTCTCTTTTCTTTTCTTCTTTCCCTCTTCTCTCTTTCTTTTCTCCCTCCCCTCTCCTTTCTTTTCTTCTATCCCTCTTCTCCTTTTCTTCTCTCCCTCTCTCTTTTCTTTTCTTCTATCCCCTCTCCTCTCTTTTCTTTTCTTCTATCCCCTATCCTCTTTTCTTTTCTTTTCTCTTTTTTTCTTTCCCTTCTTCTCTTTTCTTTTCTTCTATCCCTCCCTCTTTTCTTTTCTTCTATCCTCTCCTCTCTTTTCTTTTCTTCTATCCTCTCCTCTTTTCTTTTTCTTCTATCCTTTTCTTTTTTTTTCTTCTCCTCTCTCCTCTCTTTTCTTTTCTTCTATCCCCTCTCCTCTCTTTTCTTTTCTTCTCTCCCCTCTCCACTCTTTTCTTTTCTTCTATCCTCTCCCTCTTTTCTTTTCTTTCTCTTTTTTTCTTCTTTTCTTCTCTCTTCTCCTCTCTTTCTCTTTTTTTTTCTTCCCCTTTTCTCTTTTCTTTTCTATCCTCTCTCCTCTCTTTTCTTTTCTTTTCTCTCTCTATCCCCTCCTCTCTTTTCTTTTCTTTTCTTTTCTTTCTTTTCTCCCTCTCCTCTCTTTTCTTTTCTTCTATCCCCTCTCCTCTCTTTTTCTCTTTTCTTTTCTTCTATTCTTCTCTCCTCTCTTTTCTTTTCTTCTATCCCTCTCCTCTCTTTTCTTTTCCTCTCCTCTTTTTTCTTTTCTCCTCCCTTCTCCTCTCTTTTCTTTTCTTCTATCCCTCTCCTCTTTTTTCTTTTCCCCTCTCCCTCTTTTCTTTTTCTTTTTTTTTCTTCCCTCCTCCTCTTTTCTTTTCTTCTATCCCCTCTCCTCTCTTTTCTTTTTTCTTCTCTCCTCTCTTTTCTTTTTCTATCCTCTCTCCTCTTTTCTTTTTCTTCTCTCCTCTCTTTCTTTTCTTCTCCTCTCCTTCTCCTTTCTTTTCTTTTCTTCTCTCCTCTCTCCTCTTTTCTTTTCTTCTATCCTCTCTCCTCCCTCTCCTCTCTTTTCTTTTTCTTCTCTCCCTCTCCCTTTCTTTCTTCTTCTCTTTTCTTTTCTTTTCTTTTCTTTTTTTTTCTATCCTCTCCTCTCTTTTCTTTTCTTCTATCCTCTTTTCTTTTTCTTCTCTCTCTTTTCTTTTCTTCTCCCCCTCTCTCTTTTCTTTTTCTTTTTTCTATCCCCTCTCCTCTCTTTTCTTTTCTTCTATCCTCTCCTCTCTTTTCTTTTCTTCTATCCCCTTTTCTCCTCTCTTTTTCTTTTTTTCTTCTCCTCTCTCCTCTCTCTCTCCCTTTCTTTTCTTTTCTTCTATCCTCTCTCCTCTCTTTTCTTTTCTTCTATCCACTCTCCTCTCTTTTCTTTTCTTCTATCCCCTCTTCTCTCTTTTCTTTTCTTCTCTCTTTTCCCTCTCTCCTCTCTTTTCTTTTTTTTCTTCTCTTTTCTTTTCTTCATATCCAGTTTTCTCTCTTTTCTTTTCTTCTCTATCCCCTCTCCTTCTCTCCTCTTTTCTTTTCTTCTATCCCTCTATCTTTTCTTTTTTTCTTTCCTCCTCTTTCTCTTTTCTTTCTCTTCCACTCTTTTCTTTTTCTCCCCTCTCCTCTCTTTTCTTTTTTTTCCCCTCTTCCTCTCTTTTCTTTTCTTCTATCCCCTCTCCACTCCTCTCTTTGCTTTTCTTTTCTTCCCTTTTTCCCTCTCTTTTCTTTCTTCTCCCTCTCCTCTCTTTTCTTTTTTCTATCCCCTCTTCTCTCTTTTCTTTTCTTCTATCCCCTCTTTTCTTTTCTTCTATCCCCTCTCTTTCTCTTTTTCTTTTCTTTTTCTTCTATCCCCTCTCCTCTTTTCTTTTCTTTTCTTTTCTCTTTCCTCTCCCCTCTCCTCTCTTTTCTTTTCTTCTCTCTTCTCTCTCTTCTCTCCCTTTCTCTTTTCTTTTCTATCCCCTCTCCTCTCTTTTCTTTTCTTCTATCCCCTCTTCTCTCCTTTTCTTCTCCTCTCTCCTCTCGTTTTCTTTTCTCTTTTCTTTTCTTCTATCCTCTCCTCTCTTTTCTCTTTATTCCTCTCTTTTCTTTTCTTCTCTCCCTCTCCTCTCTTTTCTTTTCTTCTATCCCCTCTTCTCTCTTTTCTTTTCTTCTATCCCCTCTCCTCTCTTTTCTTTTCTTCTCTCCCCTCTCCTCTCTTTTCTTCTTTTCTTCTCTTTTCCTCTCCCTCTTTTCTTTTCTTTTTCTTTTCTTTGCTTTTCTTTTCTTTCCCCTCTCTTTTTCTTTTCTTCTATTCTCTCCTCTCTTTTCTTTTTTCTTCCCCTCTTCTCTTTTCTTTTCTTCTCCCTCTTCCTCTTTTCTTTTCTTCTATCCTCCTCTCTTTTCTTTTCTTTTCTTCCCTCCCCTCTCTGTTTTTTCTTTTTTTCTCCTCTCTTTTCTTTTCTTCTATCCTTCCTCTCCTTTTGGTGAATCCTCTCTTTTCTTTTCTTTTCTTTTCTTCCTCTCTCCCTCTCTTTTCTTTTCTTTCTATCTTTTCTTTTCTTCTCTCTCTCCTCTCTTTTTCTTTTCTTCTATCCCTCTTCTCTCTTTTCTTTTCTTCTTCACCTCTCCTCTTCTTTCTTTTCTCTCTTTTCCCTCTTTCTTTCTTTTCGATCCCCTCTTTTCCTCTCTTTCTTTTCTTTTCTTCTATCCCCCTCTCTCTTTTCTTTTCTTTTCTTCTTCCCCTCTCCTTCTCTTTCTTTTCTTTCTCCTCTCCCTCTTTTCTTTTCTTCTATCCTCTTTTCTTTTTCTTTTCTTCTATCCCTCTCCTCTCTTTTCTTTTCTTCTATCCCCTCCTCTCTTTTCTTAGTTTCTATCTTTCTCTTTTCTTTTCTTCTTCCCTCTCTCCTCTCTTTTCTTTTCTTCTATCCCTCTCCTCTCTTTTCTTTTTCTTTTCTTCTATCTCCTTTTCTTCTATCCTCTCTTTTCTTTTCTTTTCTTCTATCCTCTCTCCTCTCTTTTTTTTTTTTCTCTCTTTTCTTTTCTTTTTTATTATCTTTTCTTTTCTTCTCTCCCTCTTCTTTTCTTTTCTTCTATCCTCTCTTCTTCTTTTCTTTTCTTCTATCCTCTTCTCTCTTTTCTTTTATTTCTTCCCCTCCTCTCTTTTTTTTTCTTTTCCTTCTATCCCCTCTCCTCTCTTTTCTTTTCTTCTTTTCCCCTTTCTCTCTTTTCTTTTCTTTTGTTCTTTTTTTCTTTTCTTCCCTCTCTCTTTTCTTCTTTTCTTCCTTCCTCTCTTTTCTTTTCTTCTATTTTCTTCTCTTTTCTTTTCTTCTATCCCCTCTCCTCTTTTTCTTTTTTCTTTTCCTTTTTTCTTTTTTTAAATTCTCCCTCTTTTTTTCTTTTCCTCTCTCCTCTCTTTTCTTTTTTTCTTCCCCTCTTCTCTTTTCTTTTTTTAGTTTCTCTCTTTTCTTTTCTTCTATCCCTTTCCCTTTTTTCTTTTCTTTTTTTCTTTTCTTTTCTTCTATCCTCCCTCTCCTCTCTTTTCTTTTCTTTTCTTCTCCTCTCTCTTTTCTTTTCTTCTATCCCTCTCCTCTCTTTTCTTTTCTTCTATCCCCTCTAAATTCTTTTTCTCTTTTCTTTTTTTTTTTTTCTCCTTTTTTTCTTCTTCTTTCTCTTTTCTTTTCTTCTATCTTTCTCTCTCTTTTCATTTTTTTCTTCCCTCCTCTCTTTTTTTTCTTTTGTCCCCTCTTCTTTTTTTTCTTCTTCCCCTCTTTCTCTTTTCTTTTTTTTTTTTCTTTTTAAATTCTTCCCTCTTTTCTTTTCTTCTGTTCCCCTCTCTTTTCTTTCTTCTATCCCTCTTTCTCTTTCTTTTCTTTCTTCTCTTTTCTTTTCTTCCCTCTTCTCTTTTTTTTTTCTTCTTCTTTCTTTTCTTTTCTTCTTTCCCCTCCTCTCTTTTCTTTCCTTCTCCCCTCTCCTCTCTTTTCTTTTCTTCTATTTCTTCTTTTTTTCTTTATCCCCTCTCCTCTCTTTTCTTTTCTTATTTTTCTCTCCTCTCTTTTCTTTTCTTCTTTTCCTCTCTCTCTCTTTTCTTTTCTTCTCTCCCCTCTCCTCTTTTCTTTTTTCTTCTTTCCCCTCTTCTCTCTTTTCTTTTCTTCTCTATCCCCTCTTTTTTTTTCCTTTTCTCTTTTCTTTTCTCTCCCCTCTTCTCTTTTCTTTTCTTCTATCCCCCCTCTTTCCTCCCTCTTCTCTTTTCTTTTTTCTATTTTCCCTTTTCTTTTCTTTTATCTTCTCTTCTCTCTTTTCTTTTCTTTTTCTCCTAGTTTTCTTTTCTTCTATCCCTTTCCTCTCTTTTCTTTTCTTCTCCCCTCTCCTCTCTTTTCTTTTCTTCTCCCCTCTCCTCTCTTTTCTTTTCTTCTTTCTCTCTCTTTTCTTTCTTCCTCTTTCTTTTTTCTTTTCTTCTATCCCTCTTTCTCTTTTCCTTCTCTCTCTTTTCTTTTCTTCTTCTCTCCTCCTCTCATATTTTTCTTTTCTCCCCTCTGTCTCTTTTCTTTTCTTCTATCCCCTCTGCTCTCTTTTCTTTTCTCTTTCTTTTCTTTTCTTCTATCCCTCTCTTTTCTTTTCTCTCTCTTTTCTTTTCTTCTATCTTCTATCCCTCTCTTTTCTCTTTTCTTTTCTCTCTCCTCTCTTCTTTCCCTTCTCCCCTCTCCTCTCTTTTCTTTTCTCTTCCTCTTTTCTCTTTCTTTTTCTTATATCCCCCTCTCTCCTCTCTTTTTTCTTTCTTCTCTCCCCTCTCCTCTCTTTTCTTTTCTTCTATCCTCTCTCTCTTTTTTTTTCTTCTCTTTTCCCTTCTATCCCTCTCTCTTTTCTTTTCTTCTCTCCTCTCTCCTCTTTTTTTTTTCTTCTATCCTCTCTTTTTCTTTTCTTTCTTTTCTTTTCTTTTCTTCTATCCCTCTCTCCTTTTTTTCTTTTCCCTCTCCTTTTTTCTATCCCCTCTTTCCTCCATCTTTTCCTATCCCTCTCCTTCTTTTCTTTTCTTTCCCGATCCTCTTCCTCTTTTCTTTTCTTCTATCCTCTCTCCTCTCTTTTCTTTTCTTCTATCCTCTCCTCTCTTTTCTTTTCTTCTATCCTCTCTCCTCTCTTTTCTTTTCTTCTCTCCCCTCTCCTCTCTTTTCTCTTCTTCTCTCCCCCCTCTCTTTTCTCTCTTCTATCCCCTCCTCTCTCTTTCTCCTCTTCCTCTCCCCTCTTCTCTTTTTTCTATCCCCTCTCCCCTCTTTTCTTTTCTTCTATCCTCTCTGCCCTCGTTTCTTCTATTTCCTTCTCCTCCTTCTGTTTCAACCATCACCATGTTAAGAAATATTTTCCTTTTAGCAGTATCTATCTTTTCTCTTCCCTATCTGAATACATTCCCTTTTTTCCCTCCACTTCCACAATAATGAATCTGGATATTCAACATTATCTTTGTTTTTAAGCCTGGTTTAATTTTATTCATTTATATTTGTGTGTAAAGTGTCGGTCAGAAGAGTTTGGATCTCTCGATTTTAACGGTATATCACCATGGTCTTTTGAGACTTTGTTTTCTTTATAATAATAATAATAATAATAATATATATATATATATATATATATATATATATATATATATATATATATATATATATATATATGCATGCATTGGGAGACCAGGTTTATTTGCTAAACATATACATATATATACACATTTTCTGAGCAGACCTTAGTTACAGTTTCTGGGAGAGAGCTTGTTATCTAGCGTGATCAGCAATCTGAACAACGCTAGCATATCAAACCCTCGGTCACGATGACTTGTGACTTTGTGCTAGAACAGTTATCCAAGGTATTGCACGCTGGGATCGACGACCTCCAGACTGGTAACCTCAGGAAGTCTCCTTTCTGGAAAATTGGTGATGGTGATATTTGAACTCAGGTCTCATGGTCAGAAAGCGAACACACATACATGTACACATACGCACACATCCATATGTACACATATACATATACACGCATACACACACATTTTGAAATCAGAAAACTCCAAATATCCTGTCCTTCTCTCCACCAGCTCCTTTACCGCCTTGTGCTATTATTGTCTTTGCCATGATATACAGGGTTCGGCAAAATTAACGCCATTTTTTATTTATTAACTTTTATTAACAACATAAATGACACATATTTCAGAAAATTTATAAGTATTGTCACATCAAAACAACATGATTTGTTATTATAAACAAACTATTTAACAGGTTGAAAATTCTCCTCTTCATGTCCAATACAATGTTGAAACTGATCAGCAACACTTCTATGAACCATTTGACACCGTCCTACATTAATTTGAGAAAAAATATCAGAAATTGCTTCTTTTATTTCATGAATTGTTTTCGATACAGCCCACAAGAAATAAATCTGGTTGTGTTAAGTCTGGTTGTGTTAAATCTGGTGGTTTTAGGTCTGGTGGTGTTAGGTCTGGTGGTGTTAGGTCTGGTGATGTTAGGTCTGGTGATGTTAGGTTTTTTGGTGGTTTGAGATTTTTTTTACATTGAGGATTTTTTTTCTGTTTGAGATTTCAATACAGCCTGGTGGTTTTAAATCTGGTTGTGTTAGATCTGGTGATTTTAGGTCTGGTGGTGTTAGGTCTGATGATGTTAGGTCTGGGGATGTTAGGTCTGGTGGTGTTAGGTCTAGTGATGTTAGGTCTGGTGGTGCTATCAGAAATTACTTATTTTAATTGAGGATTTTTTTTCGGTTTGAGTTTTCAATACAGCCCGCAAGAAATAAATCTGGTTGTGTTAAGTCTGGTGGTTTTAGGTCTGGTGGTGTTAGGTCTGGTGATGTTAGGTCTGGTGGTGTTAGATCTGGTGATGTTAGGTCTGGTGGTGTTATCAGAAATTACTTATTTTAATTGAGAATTTTTTTCGGTTTGAGATTTCAATACAGCCCACAAGAAATAAATCTGCTTGTATTAAGTCTGGTGGTGTTAGGTCTGGTGGTGTTAGATTTAGTGGTGTTAGGTCTGGTGGTGTTAGGTCTGTTGATCGTGATGGCCATCCACTTGCCTCACATTGCCCTATCACCTCAACTCGAAAATGAAAGCTCTTTACTTTTCCTCAACAGCACATATCATTTTAACTAGACTCGGTGATACGAACATATCAGTTATTTGGAGTTATTTTTAAATGCTAATTCCACTTCTAATTCTCGTCCAATTGAATGCTACGCGAATAGAGATTATTTTAATCTGTATTCATATTTTAGCGATATTAGGCTTGATATTGTTTTCCGGTTTTCGAACGCCTCAGACTTACGCCATCTTTTCGCTGTACATTTCCAACGTCACCCGATTATCTCTCGCGATATCTCGCCGCACAATGCTTTTGCCTTTTGCTGCATCTGCATTGTGATTCATTATCCGACTCGGGCCTTTCGCTCACTTGACTGTAAAATTAGCCATCGTTATTTTTAAACGTGAGATTCAGCTTCTGTTCGTTCATCTGATGCTTTTATCTGCACAATCAATTTCTTTTAGGAATTTCGTTTTCTGCAATTCTTTTCTCTTGCGCTTGTCTCTTCCTTCTTCGTTTTAATTTAGATTCCACTTCTAATCTCACCAGAGGTTTTTTTGTTTGTTTTTTTTTTATAGCTTCTTTGTTTTACTAACGCCTTTATTCGTCTAAAATCTTTATTTAGTTGATTTATCTTGTGTCTTCAATGCGTTTCCCGTTTTGTTGTGCACGTTTGGTGGGTGTTTCCTGCAAAGATATGCATCTGTTCGGTCACTATTGCTGGCTTTCTTAGATTTCTCTCGGTTTTATAGCGAAATCGTTTCGCTTTTCTCACCTCTTTCCATTAGTTTTTTTCTTTTCTGTTTTTCCATCCCATTCTACTTTTCCTTTTCTTATCCTTTTCTCCATTTGCTTTCTCTTTTCGCTTTCCTTTGCTTTTTCTTTTTTCGTTTTATTTCGCTATTTCATTTTGCTTTCTCTGTTTCGATTTCCTTTCGCTTTTTTTTCTTTTCTCTCTCTTTTCTGTTCGTTTTTCTCGTTTTCTTTAATTTTTCTTTCTCTTATTACTATTTCGTTTTCCGTATTTCGTTTTCCGTTCCCTTTTTCTGTTTCCTTTTTCCGTTTCCTTTTTCTTTTCTTTTTTCTATTTTACTTCCATTTTTCTTTTCCGTTTGCCTTTCGCTTTTTCGTTTTCCTTTTTCTTTTTTTTTTCCTTTTCCTATTTTTCCTCTTTCTTTCTTTCTTTTCTATTCATTTTCTCTTTTCCTTTAGATTTTTGTTTTCTTTCATTTCTCTTTTCCTTTCTCGTTTTTCTTTTCCTGGCACTTTTCCATTTCTTTTCTCTTTTTCCGCATCCTTTTCTCTTCTTCTTTTCTTTTCTTTTATTTCTGTTCACTCTTCCTTCTTTCCTTTGTCTGTGCTTTTTTTCTTTTCTCTACTTTTTCTGTCCTTCATCTCTACTTTTTCTTGCGTGTTACTCTTGATTTTCTTTTTCTAGATTTTTTTCATGTTTACTTTACATTTTTATTTCTTTTTGCTTTAATTTTTCTTAACCTGTTGTTCGAATTTTTTTTCAGCTACTTATTCTTTCCATATTCTCTACTTTTTCTTTCTTTTTTTTAGTTTTTTCTTTCCGTTTTCTATATTTTTTTCCTTTTTCTTTAGTTTTTTTCTTTCATTTTACTCTTTTTCTCTTTCTCTATTTTTTTGTCTTATTTTCTGTTTTCTTTCATTTTTTCGCTATTTGTATTTCTTTACATTTTCTTTCTTTTTTCTCTACTTTTTCTTACCTTTTTCTCTACTTTTTCTTTCTTTTTATCTACATTTCCTTTTCTCTTTCCACAATATTTCTTTCCTTTTTCTCCATTTTTCTTTTATTTTCCGATACTTTTTCTTTCCTCTTTCGCTTTTTCCTTTCCTTTTTCACTACTTTTTCATTTTTCCTTACTTTTCCTTTCCTTTTTCTCTACTTTTTCATTTTTCCTTACTTTTCCTTTCCTTTTTCTCTACTTTTTCATTTTTCCTTACTTTTCCTTTCCTTTTCTCTACTTTTCATTTTTCCTTACTTTTCCTTTCCTTTTCTCTACTTTTTCATTTTTCCTTTCTTTTCTCTACTTTTCCTTTTCCTTTCTTTTTCTCTACTTTTCATTTTTCCTTACTTTTCCTTTCTTTTTCTCTACTTTTTCATTTTCCTTACTTTTCCTTTTCTTTTTTCTCTACTTTTTCATTTTCCTTACTTTTCCTTTCTTTTTTCTCTACTTTTTCATTTTTCCTTACTTTTCCTTTCTTTTTCTCTACTTTTTCATTTTTCCTTACTTTTCCTTTCTTTTTTCTCTACTTTTTCATTTTTCCTTACTTTTCCTTTCCTTTTTCTCTACTTTTTCATTTTTCCTTACTTTTCCTTTCCTTTTTCTCTACTTTTTCATTTTTCCTTACTTTTCCTTTCTTTTTTCTCTACTTTTCATTTTTCCTTACTTTTCCTTTCCTTTTTTCTCTACTTTTTCATTTTTCCTTACTTTTCCTTTCTTTTCTCTACTTTTTCATTTTTCCTTACTTTTCCTTTTTTTTTCTCTACTTTTCATTTTTCCTTACTTTTCCTTTCCTTTTTCTCTACTTTTTCATTTTTCCTTACTTTTCCTTTCTTTTTTCTCTACGTTTTTTTTAGCTTTGTTTTCTTTCCTATACTTTTTCTCTCGTTTTTCTTTTGTTTTTTCTTTCATTTTTTTCTTGAGTAAGCATTTCTTTTCATTGAAGTTTTCGTCTCGGATTTTATTTTGTAATTATAAAATCCGTAGATTATCTATTGAATTTTTTTTTCTCCTTTCTTTTTCAGTCTCTACAATTTTACCCCATGTCAGTTGACTTTACCAAATGATTTTTCTCTTTATTTCTCTGCGCTTCGGCTTATCTTTTGGACTAGGCTAACTTTGGTATTAGACTCATCGAGCGCCGTGTAGATATATTTGGCCTGGGCCAATCAGGAGACACACTCTGATTTATCGCACAAAAAAAGAGAAATGAATTCACGATCAGCTCTTTGCAAAAATAAGATACCAATCGCTAGAAAAACGTTCATTCCGATTCAATTTTACATATCTTAACTTAATCAACTTCAGTAAAAGGCCAGTTTGACAGAGCCCTCAATAAGAACGAAGTATACAAAATATAATTTCCGAGATAAATGTGTGCCGTATACTTATTATTCGGTTCCATATCAACTAATATATTTCTGATATGCTATATTTTCTGTGGTTGTTCTAGAAAGTTTCTCGATTGTGTAATGGCGGTAACAATTTTATGTTCCCCTGCTTGACGATTACGAATTTGTTTTGTATGGTTTGAATCATTTCACGCCAATCACAGTAATAAAGCCACTAAAACGGAAGCGTGAAATAATATGAGAATAATAAAAAAATCATTATAATGGAGAGAGAACCATAAAGAAACATGGGAATTAAGAAGACAGCAGATAACGATTGTCATGTAAGCAATTTTGTTCAATCAGTGTGCGTCATATTCGATTCTATACCAACTAATATATTTCTGATATGTTATATTTTCTGTTGTTGTTCTAGAAAGTTTCTCGATTGTGTAATGGCGGTAACAAATTTATGTCATCAAACCTGGCGATTACGAGTTTTTTGGGTTTTTTTTAAATTATTTCATTCCAAGCAAATGAATAAACTGAATGTAAAAGAATATGAAAATAAGAAAACACTATTAAGGAGGAGCCGCAACAAAAGAACAGGAAATAAGAAGACAGAAGATAACGATTGACATTGCATTTAAATGTTTCGAGATCAAAGTTAACTGGAAATCAAGAAGCCGGATCCGATTTCCATAAATGAAACGTATGAAAGAAGGAACTATTAGCATAGAACTTACGGTTACATCTCGCCATTTCAACTGTAAGACGATACGAGCTTACCAACAATCTAGTAGAACGCTTAAATTCATAAAGTTTAGGTATCATAGAGGAGAGCTCACCAGAACAATTACAATCAAAGTATTTGTAGAAAAAAACACAGAGAAGCTACGTTATGGCGGTGCGAAAGAGACCAAAACCGAGATGCCATGTCCAGACCACTTGTATTGCAGATTATTCTTTGTATTTTATCAAGAATCTCTAAATAAATAACAGAAGTACCAGGCCAGATGTGACAGCAATATTCAATATATGGACGAATGGTAGACTTATAAATGCCTTAAAACAGATTCTGGCAAGTGAGCCAACCTTCCTAGTAGCAGATCAAACAATCGATTCCACTTCATATCACCCGAAAATGTTCACCCGCGAAGTCGTAACGAGTTCTTTTATGGCATCATTTATATTTTGCAGCAGTCGCATTTGACTACAAGTTAAACACCTGTTTAATATATCACGAGAATCTATCAAAAATACATTCCTTATCAATCGTAATTTCATCGAGTTCATCATGTTGCATCCTTCAAGAACAATTCATTAATGAAGGAAAAGAGAAATGAACACTTTTAAGGATTAAGTCGTTTTTAGATTTTTTTTCAGCTTATCAATATTTTTCACGTTATTTAATGCCAAAAAATATTTATATTTTCCATCTGTCATATGTGACTTAGTATTTAAAGTGTGTAAATACACTATTGTGCAAATTAATTGAAACAAAACGAATTCCGTTTACTTTTTGAGATTTTTTCAATGAAACATGACCCAGTGCACATGTTATTACTCTGTATGTCCATTCCACGAAGTCTTTCCTTGAAAACTGACCACAGATTCTAGACTGGATTTAAATCAGGAGAGTTTCCGAGCCAGTCGATAGTACTTTGATTTGTCACTGGTAAAGCTTGCCAGTGTGTCGTGCAACATTACAATTTTCGTACGCTGACTTGGAGTAACGTCTATTGCAGACCATGGCCGTAGGACAGCTAATCGACAGTCGAGACAACAGTGTCTGGGTTTGGAAAAAATGTCATGCAATCACGGATGGCGCAATATTTTTCAAGGCCAAACAAATTTCATCATACACCACGGGAATAGATTCATATTGCTGCAAGCCACTGCAAATGACCTAATCTGAGGAAAAACTAGAAATCTATTACACCCTGTCACTCCATTGGGTCTAAAACTGACCGTATGGTGAAAGAAAGGAAACTAAAGCAGTTGTTGCAGTTAATTTGCACAAGGGTGTAGATGTGTTATTCAATGAATATGTCAGTTGCTTATATATCACTAAGTAGCTGGTTCGAATCGTGAGAGGATATAGTTTTATATTAGTTATCCATTTGTATTGTCCTTATTGCTAACAAAAAATAAGGTGGCATTTTCTTCTTCTGTGTACGGTGGCCCTTCAGAACGCTGGTGATGATCGCTCATCACAATTTCCACTGCTTTTTAGCTCTTCATATATGTTGTCTTTTATAATCTATTCTAAAACTTGTTTTGCTATCCATCCACCCAAGCTCTCTAGGTAGGTTATACATTTCTCTGTCCACCTTGCCTTCAATCTATCCCTCTTTCTACATTAGGTATCCTAGAAATTTCCACTATCTCTTTCTGGTGTTAACTATAAGTGACCTTTTCGATTCTATTTTCTCTAAAACTTCATCGTTGCAAATTATATTATATCCCCAGCATTCTTCAATGGAACCACATTACTGTTCTTTCGTCCATTATTCACTGCCATATATGAGGACTGATATTACATAATAGGTCACTACTCCTTATATATATATATATATATATATTGACCACTGATATTATCTATCTATATACAGTTGCGGCCAAAATGTTCAGAACGGCATTGTTTTCGCCAGAAAAGTAGGTATAAGCTTTTATCAAAGTTGTTTTATATTCTATAATTTTCACAGCCAATAAATACGATATTAATTGTTATTGTCTGAGAATTTGGTATAATTTGAGAGGCTAATAAAAAAGTTATGGATGATTTAGTGATTTACTGCAAAACCCATGGCGGCCAAAATGGTCAGAACTGTTGAAAAAATAACAAAATAATCAAAAATGACAGGGGATACTGGATTTATTTAATATTTAGTGTGAAGACCTTTAGCTTCAATCACACTTTGACATCTTCGACTGCATGAGGAAATTGAATTTTCAATTTCTTGCTGGGTGATCTTATTCTATTCTTCCTGAAGGGCATTCCATAATTGCTTTGGTTGTTTTAGGATTTCTGGCTTTCGAACGTTCTCCTAGAATATTCCACACATTTTCAATAGGATTGAGATCTGGGCTTTGAGCAGGCCAATCCATAATAATAACCTTTTCAGCCTTGAGGAAGTTCACGACTACCATAGCCTTGTGACATGAGGCATTGTCCTGCATGAATATGGATGGTCGCTTAGTTGAATTTCTTAGCACAGGCAAGACATGATATTTTACAAGTTGTTTATAAACTCCTGCATTTACCTTTCCATGTAATCGCACCAAAGGGTCCACACCATCTCCAGATATCATCCCCCAAACCATGACACTTCCTCCACCGAATTTAACACTAGTCTTAAGGCATTTAGGCGACAATTTTTCACCTACTTTTCGACGAACGTACCTTTTCCCATCTGAGCCAAATAACATAAACTTAGATTCCTCACTGAAATGCACCGTTTGCCATTTTTCTTCAGACCACAACACGTGTTCGGTTGCAAAAGTACGACGACACTTTTTATTGTTGAAGCTAATCAGTGACTTCACTGCAGGTGCTCTTGCTTGTAGGTTATGTTCAACTAAACGACGAGACAGTTTTTCGAGATAAAGTTTTCTTCAGTACAATGCTCATTTCCCGAGAAACAGCAGCAGCAGTTTTAAATCTTTCTTTTTTAACCAACTTTACCATAGCATGATCTTCTCTTTTGGTCGTTTTTCTTGGCCTACCTGTAGACTTTCTTGCTTCACATGAACCACAATCATCGTAGACCTTAAGAATACCGTGAACAACACTTTTTGACTTGTTAACAATCTTTGCAATAGACCCAATACTTAAATTATCCTTCTTTTGAAGCTTAATAATCTACTGACTAATTGGTAACGGAGTAAGTGGCATTATATTAACAAAGTACACTGCAGATATTCTTACTAATATTTAGTAAACGAACCGTCACGTAAACAAATTAAAACAAAATTTTCTTCAAAAAATCTATTTCTGGTAATCATTTTTCTTCGCTGGTAATATTTGTTTTGCAAAAATATATAGCTGGTAATATTTTTTTTAAATGTATTGCTGGTAATATTTTTTTTTTAAATGTATTGCTGGTTATTTTTTTTTTTTTAATGTATTGCTGGTAATATTTTTTTTTAATGTATTGCTGGTAATATTTTTTTACAAAGTATTTCTGGTATTAAAACCTATTTTTACACTTTTTTAGTGTTCTGACCCCAGTTTGGGGGTTAACTATTTGCCAATAGCTGGGGGGGGGGGGCCTTAACAAGTGCTACCACCCAGAGTCAGGGTGGATCTGAGAACACCAGCAATTAAGAGGTGATTCCACGCTCCTCAAAAACCGCCTTATCAGAGGCCTTGCTGTTAGACGTAGTTTATTGTCTTCCCTAGGACGCGGATGTAGTTTATCGTCATACCCAGGATACGGATGTAGTTTATCGTCATACCCAGGACGGGCTATTAAGGAAGCGAGAACTATAAAAGAAAGGCGATCAAGAAAACAGTGGATAACGATTGACATTGAATTTAAATTTTTGAAGATCTGTGTTGGCTTGAAGACAAGACACCAGAAGGAAGTTCCACGAGCGAAAAAACAAATTGTTAACATAGAACTTACGGTTACAACTAGATTATTCAACTGCAAAATGATAAGACCATGTTGCCAATTTAGTTGCTTTAATTACAACAGTATCACTAACATCTTTTGACAGCATTCGCACATCGCTCAACCAACGTACAGTGACTCAAAGGTTTTGCAGTAAATCACTAAATCATCCATAATTTTTGTATTATCCTCTCAAATTACACCAAAATCTCAGACAATAACAATTAATATCGTATTTATTGTCTGGGAAAATTATAGAATATAAAACAACTTTGGTAAAAGCTTATACCTACTTTGTGACGAAAACAATGCCGTTCTGAACATTTTGGCCAACTGTATATATATATATATATATATATATATATATATATATATATATAAAGAGGTTGTTGTTGACACACCATGATAAAATAATCTTAAGTAAAGGGATCATAATTTATTATTAAAATAGGATACGTATACTATTTTAATAATAAATTATGATCCCTTTCCTTAAGAATATATGTGTGTGTGTGTCTGTGTGTGCGTGTGTATATGTTTGTGTGTGTGTGTATGCGTTTGTGTGTGTGCGTGTGTGTGTGATATACAAATATATGTATTTCCAAAAGAGGATATTTAATTAACACAAAACAAAATAACAAGCTTAACCTTGAAGCCGGAATTTACAATATAGACTGTAAAAAACTGTTCGAAGAAATAGATTCTTTAGACATTTTGGAATTTACATAGAAAGCATCTTTTCCATTTAGTCGTTAATCCTGCGCATGCGTTCGACTTAATGAACGAAGTTTCAAACAAAAAAAAAAGGAAGTAATTAATTATTAAGGCGAAAATTTAATAAACGTGCACTAATTTCGGAATCTGCCAAAGTAGATCTGCCTCCGGGTTCATACTTAATATCTATTTACCAACAAAACTAATGCTGGTAAAATATGGGGAGTGGAGGGGGTCTCTGAAGATAATCGCTATAAAAAAAAATAAAAAACAAAAACGATAAAAACAGTGAATGGTCTCGTCTAGGGAATACATCTATATTCAGCAGATGTCAAGTTTAAAGGTTTACGTCTCTCTATTTTTAGCATTTTCGATGTAAAATTTTAACTAGGCTTTGTTGCTTTACTTTGTTGAGTTACTCCCCCACACACACACACACACACACACACACACATACATATATACTTTACTTTCCTAAAAACACTGTCGCTCCTTAAGCCTATAAATAGGGAGTCAAATTTTCTGCCACACTCTCTTTCCTATTTCACACAGGAACGCTAAGATGTAGGTCGTTACGTGCAGAAATGCGACCAACACCGGGGTACGCACCGACACACGCGTGCGCACGCTGGCCAGCACCTTCCTCTTTATTTTCCATTACTATTCTCTAGGATTTCTTCTACTTTCTTTTTATATAAATAAACATCTTCACTAGATAGATAGATAGATAGATAGATAGATAGATAGATATGTACACATAGATAGATAGATAGATAGATAGATAGATAGATAGATAGATAGATAGATAGATAGATAGATAGCTGATATGAACACATAGATAGATAGATAGATAGATAGATAGATAGATAGATAGAATTTAAAAATTATATATATATATACATATATAGAGATAGATAGATAGAGAGAGACGATGTGAAAGAGAGAGGGTGTGAGAGAGAGAAACCGACTGAATAAAAATGGAGAATATAGAAATTATCATTTATTTATTAACTCTCGTCTCAGTTAATATTGTCAACATTTCAAGCTCGAATTGCAAATGGAAGATATTAACGTTGTTTTATAAATACCAAAGATTCACGGTGCAATCACATAGAAATATCGCCATCTTTTTAGGCGCGATTGATACGGCTTCTTTCATTAACTATTTTTGCAGAACATGGTCAATTATTCCGACATAAATATTCCTATATTTCGGCGCTAGAAATAAATTCTCAAAACATAAAAATGTGTATATATTAATTATTCGATAGCTTCATTCTTATTTTTCATGCAATCACTTTTCATGAATTGAGGCATTGTAGCTCTCCACAGCTTCTCATTTTTTCCTCTTATGTCTGGAATTCAAGTTCACTCAAATTCGTTCGGTAGGTTACCCTCAGTTTCTCAACTACTTCCCTGCATCAAATATGCCCGCCGAGTGTTAAATGTGAAACTGCGCCTGGCGAGGAGAAGGCAATTGATTCAGATAATTCTCAAGAAAACGTTGATGGCGCTACATGATCGGTTAAAGTTGCGTCAGATGAGGAAGAGGCAATTGATTCAGATAGTTCTCGACAATTTGTTGGTGCTTGATGATCGTTTAAAAATACCTCAGATGAGAGGTGGGCAGTTAATTCAGATTGTTTTCGAGAATATATGGATAGAGGCTATATGATCGGTTAAAGTTGTGCCAGATGAGGAGGAGGCAGTTGATTCAGATTGTTCTCAAGAATATATTGTTCGTCTTTATTCAAATAAAGAGCGTTCAGGGCATGACGATAAACTACATCCGCGTCCTGGGTAAGACGATAAACCACATCCGCGTCCAGGGTAAGACGATAAACTACATCCGCGTCCTGGGTAAGACGATAAACTACATCCGCATCCTGGGTGTAATGATAAACTGCATCCGCGTACTGGGTGGGACGATGAGCTGCGTCCAACAGCAAGGCCGCTGATAATGCGTTTTTGAAAAAATAATGTTGCCGGCTGTACGTTTTTGAAAAAATAATATTATCAGCTATATGTTTTTGAAAAATAATATTACCAGCTATAAGTTTTTGAAAAAATAATATTAACTGCTATACGTTTTTGAAAAAATAATATTACTAGCTATACGTTTTTCAAAAATAATGTTGCCAGCTATGTGTTTTTGAAAAAATAATATTACCAGCCATACGTTTTTGAAAAATATATTATATATACCAGCTATACATTTTTGAAGAAAAAAATATTACCAGATATAGATTTTTGACAAAGCAAAAATATTACCTGGAAAAAAAAAAGATGTCGGTATTAAATGACCCATTGATGTTGATATTCCGTAAAACAAAACAAACCAAATAAAGAAGAAACGTTAAGAGACGTAACTTGATTCTCTACCTTGAAAACAGTAGATTGTCAGATGAATGTTTGTCATCTAATTAGAAGACCATTGATTTATATCCAATACTATCCAATGAAAAAGTGCCTTATACAAAAAAAATAGGCATTTTCTTCAAATTTCGTTTTTATTAATGACTCTGTTGGTGTGCATATTTTCGACAAGATCAATTAGTTTGGAACGGGCTCACCTCCAGATCCTTTCACACACTTTACTAGTGAATAAGCAGTAAATTTACGTATGAAAATTTAGTTTCCTATTCTTATAAGCTGTTACTGAAATAACGTTGCAGGACATTTTGTGATAGATAGATAGATAGATAGATAGATAGATAGATAGATATGAACAGAATGGGATAGATAGAGTGTTGAGTGGGAAACTTAGATAGATAGATAGATAGATAGATATGAAGAGAATAGTCTGTTGGATTTGAGGGTGTTATAACGGATAATGCCTCAGAATTGTTTATCGGAGAACCGAGTTCCAATTCTAGTCGATTTCGTTATATTCATTTACGTGCAAATTCCCTTGGAAAAGTTATGAATCCACATCTTCTCCGCAAGCTATGGATTAATTAGTAAGACATATTTTACTCAAGCATTATTATCTAAAAATCTCACAATCTAAAAATACCTTCTGGCTTTAAATAACCTCATACTCCCTAAAACACGTGTGACGTCCCCCGGTGTCGCTGCGCCAATCGTGATGTCTGCCTGACCGCGCTCGCCGTGCTGTCCTAGTCGCGGCGCTAGTTGTGACGTCACCCTGTCTATCTCCGCGCCGTCGCCGTCCTATCCTAACCCGCGACGACCAATGTGACTTGGTATTGGTCGCGGCACCTAATTAATATTATCTCCCAGCACTCTGCGGGAGGTCACTTGTCCAACTTGAAATTTTTACCATTGCCATGGGCAGATTGAGTGCGTCGTCATAAATTAAATAAAATCCGACACATCCGCGACCTTACTTTCCTCGCTAATGAGAATAAAACCTTTAGCATTTTTCTTTGTTAAAAAGAATAACATCGCTTAGTGTCCTTTTCGTGATGGCTTCTTATCACC